AAAAGGTATGGAGACAGGATGCATCCCTGACACACTCCTTTCCTGATTTTGAACCATGTAGTGTTTCCCTGCTCTATTCTGATCCAAGTATATGTTTCACATAAACACAATCAAGTGTTCTGGGATTCTCATTCTCCTCAAAGTTAGCCACAATTTGTTGTGATCCACACAGTCAAATGTCCTTGCAAAGTCACTGAAACACAGATAGACATTCCTCTGGTACTCGTTGCTTTCAGCCCAGATCTATCTGACATTGGCAATAATGTCTCTAGTGCCACAACCTATTCTAAATGCAACTTGTATTTCTGGTAGTTGTCTGTCAATGGAGTACCAGTCATTTCTGTATAATTGTCAGCAGGATTTTGCTAGTGTGTGATATTAATGATATTGTACTATAATTTCCGTACTCTGTCAGGTCATCTTTTTTTGGATTGGGAATAAATATGAATCTCTTCCAGTTAGTTGGCCAAGTAGTTTTCCTCCTGATCTCTTGGCACAACTTTGTGAGCACATCCAACACAGCATCTGTTTGTTGAAATACACTAATTGGTATTCCATCAATTCCTGGGGCTTTATTTTTTTGCCAAGTCCTTCAGAGCAGTCTGTATTTCCTCTTTCATCACCATTGTCTCTTGATCATATGTTGTTCCTTGAAATTCTTCTGTGTCAGCCACTTCTTTTTGGGACAATGGCTCTGTATACTCCATCTTCTTTTAATGCTTCCTGAACCATTCAATATTCTGTCCATAGCATCCTTAAGCACTGCAACTCACATCTTGAATTTGTTCCTCAGTTCCTTCAGTTTAAGAAATTCTGAGAGAGTCTGGACCTTTTGATTTTCTAACTTCAGTTCCTTGCACATTTCATTATAATATTTTGCCTTGCCTTCCCAAGCTGCCCTTTGAAATCTATTCAGCTCCTTAACTTCTTTATAGGCTTCTTGGTGGTCTACTGCAATATTCAGAGTCTGTAAGAAGTATCTAAGTATCTAAGTAAGATGAAGCTGTTGACAGTTTCAATTTCCTCTCCACCCATCATAATGCTATCCATTGGTCCAGTGGTAAGAATCTTTGTTTTCCTGACATTGAGATGCAATCCACAGCCAAATACTGTGCCAAATGCTTCAAGCCCTCCTCACTTTCAGTGACCAAGGTTGTGTCATTTGCATAATGCAGGTTATTGATGAGTTTCCCTCCATTCCTAATGGCACAATCCTCCTCATAGAGTCCAGCTTCTCAGGTAATTTTCTCAGCATACAGGTTGAATAGGTATGGAGAGAGAATACAACCCTGGTGCACTCCTTTCACAATTCCCAACCATGCAGTACTTCCCTCCTCTGTTTGCACAACAGCCTTCTGGTCCAGGTATAGGTTTCACATGCTCATCATCAAGTGCTTAGGAGTCCCTTTCTTTTCAATGTCAGCCATAACTTGTCATGATAATTCTACATCATGATAGTTGTTGGAAAAATTGAAGTTGACAACAATTCCATTATCCTTGCATCTACTCAACATCTTTGATACCAGCAGTCCAGGAGATGTATTGTTTTGGGTAAGTCTGCTGTCATGAACCTATCCAAATGACTGAGGGACAATGATGTTAGATTGAAGACTAAGGTGCTCCTGAGTCAAGTCATAGTCTTTTCAGCCACTTGCTCTGCATTTGAGAGCTAGACAATGAAAAAGGATGTCAATAGAAAAATTGGTACCTTTGAGCTATGAAATTAGAGTACTGGACATTCCATGGGCTGAAAAGAGAACAAACAAACATGTCTTGGAGAAAGTGTAGCCAGAGTGTTCCTTGGGGGTAAAGATGACAAAGGTCTCACATATTTTTGGCATGTGGCAAAGAGAAGCTATTCCTTGGAAAAGGACACATGCTTGGAAAGTTGGATTTCAAAGAAGAGAGGAAAACCCATTACCAGATGCATTGACATATCGATTGCACAAGTGTGTCAGATTGTGAGGATAGCGCAGAATAAGACAGGATTTAGATTTTTTTTTCATAGGTTTGCCATCAGTCATACTCAATGGAACCTGACAATAACTACAAACATCAAAAATACATATATAATAATTTTCAAAGACTCTTTCTGAAGGGGGTAAAATGCTTATTTTTATTACCAACTGTTCCAAATGACCAATTCTGCACTATAGCATTGCCTACTTTTTTAAAAAGGAGGAAACAATATAGCTTGTTTATAAACTATGATTTATGCTTAACTTGGGAAGAAAACTATATTTTAAACCTATGTGAATTCCAGATTCACTTTCACTAAACCCTTTCCTCCCTTTATGCAACAGGATAAATCTCACTTTTACCCTGAAGGGAAGCTTTACATTGCATAAAAAGTAAAAAGCAAAGAAAAACACACACACACACAGTTAAGAAACAAGTGTTTCTACAACAACAAAGGAGTCTGGATGTCTGAGAGTTTTTGCTATTTTCAGTGACTTTTTTTACTAAAAAGTGAAAATTTGACTTACTGTCTGGATGGGGATTTTGTAGACATTTTTTTAGTCCATATTTGTTACATTTTTATTAGCTTCAAAAATAGTTACCATGGTAATAGCTCCATTTAGATCTAATCTTAGAGCTGAATTATAGAAAACCTTCCCACTGGGTTGCATACAATGCTATTTGACGGTTTCATCTGGCCTATTATTTAAGATAAGAATTATTTTAAATACTATCAAATGGTTGCATTCTATTCCTGACTTTTCTTTTGTAACTCTCAAGTTCGCAAAATTCTCTTGCTTATAATTTTGTAAGAATTCTGTTTAATTTCAATATGTATTATTTAATATTTTTTATATTCTTCTTTCTTTAAAGAAGGAGCTTAGACAATGATGACAATTTATTTTCTTTAATAACCTAATTTTCAAACATCCTTATCAAAAACCACAATTATTTCAACATAAAATCTACATTAAATCATAATATTAAGAGTTTCTAAGGACCTTTATATAGATATAAAGGGAATTAATTTCTCTAAAATGTGCTTATAATTTATAAAAAGGAGTCATACATAAATGAAATATAACCAAATAGCCACTGGTTTTCAAAGAAGTTTGAGAAGCCATTCAGTCTATTGTCCCAAACCTAGTCTGAACAAAAATTAAACCATTATCAAGAGAATTTCTAAGGAGCCTTGGTGGGGAAGTATGTAACATGTTGTACTGCTAAATGAAAAGTAATCTCTTCCAATCCACCAGTTCTCCAAGGGAAGAAGATAAGTAGACTTTTCTCAAAAAGATTCACAGCCTCCAAAACTTAATGGGCAATTGTAATGAGTTGGGTTTGACTGCACGGCATGGATTTTTGTATGTGTTAAGTGATACCTTTGAATTGTGGTGTTGATGAAGAACATTACATATTTTACTGAATGTCTAAAGAATGAACAATTCTGTCTCAGAAGTGAAACTAGATTACTTCTTAGAGGGAAAGATGATGAAATTTAGTCTCACATACTTTGAACATGTTCTCAGGAGGCATTAGTGATTGGAAAAGAATTTATGTTTAGAAGAGTCAGTGAAAAACAGGAAGACCTTCAATGAGATGGACTGACAAATTACTGCAACAATGAACTTGACCATGATGGAGATCATAGAGTTATTATTAGTTGAAGTTTGCTCAACTGCGGTTAAAAGCAACAAACCAAACCTGCTGATAGAGTACTATTAACCAAAGGTTAGCAGTGTGTTTGAGATTTTCATTTAAGAGAAGCATTACATTCTGAACAAATGACTTTTCCATCCTCTAAGATAACATAATTCAACCTTTACCTGTTCAAAAACCATCTTCAATTCTGTACTGTGTTGCATGTTTCTACAATGCAATAATTCCTAAAGCTCTGTGCAATATTAGACCTTGACACATAGAAAACATAGGAGAACAGCTCCATAGTATTTCTTGGCTATAATGTTATTCTTGGCTGGAAGAGATCCATATTTGTTTCTATTTTTCAAAACTGGATATCCAACAGAATGCATAAATTATCAAACAATATAATTAATATCAGATGCAAGTAAAATCTTGTTGAGGATTTTTAAAAGATAGCTGCAACAGTACATTCATAGAGTACTGCCATAGATTCAAGCTGATTTCAGAAGAAGCTGTGGCATGCGAGGTATCATTGCTGATGTCAGATGGATCTTGTAAGAACAGAGAACACCAGAAAGAAATTTGCTTGTGTTTTATTGATCATTCAATGACCTATGACTGTGTGGATTGTAAGAAATTGTGGCTAACATTGGAAAGAATGAGAAATCCGGAACACCTCATTGTGCTCGTGCAAAACCCATACATGGATCAAGAAGCAGTCGTCCAAATGGAACAAAAAACATTGCATGGTTTATTATCAGGAAAGATGTGAATTATGGCTGTATTCTTTCTCCAAACCTATTCAATCTGTCTGGTGAACACATAATTTCAAAATACGGACTAAATGAAAAAGATTGTGGCATGAGGTTAGGAGGAAGGTTGATCAACAACCTATCATATGCAGATGATACAACATTGTTTGCATGAAGTGAAGAAAATCTGAAGCACTTACTGCAGAAGATCAAAGACTATAATCTTCAACATGTATAACATTTTAACATCAAGAAAACAAAAATTGCTTCTTCTGTAGCTCCTGGTGCTGCCTGTGCTCTCGTTCGGTGCGGACCTGGTACCTCTTTTGTGAAGCGGCTGCTCAGGAGACTCCCGCGCTCGCCATGGCCGACGAGAAACCCAAGGAAGGAGTCAAGACTGAGAACAACGATCATATTAATTTGAAGGTGGCGGGGCAGGATGGTTCTGTGGTGCAATTTAAGATTAAGAGTCATACCCCACTTAGTAAACTAATGAAAGCTTATTGTGAACGACAGGGTTTGTCAATGAGGCAGATCAGATTCCGATTTGACGGATAGCCAATCAATGAATCAGATACATCTGCACAGTTGGAAATGGAGGATGAAGATACAATTGATGTGTTCCAGCAGCAGACAGGACGTGTCTTCTCAAATAAACACAGAGGAGCCTGCTGTTTTACTCCAGAACTCTGATCCTGCAGACCAAGAATACATTCTCAATTAGAAAACCACAACTGGGTTCCAGCACATCCTGACTACTACAGCCTAGTTTTCCCTCTTCCTTCATTTCCCCCTCCCTATTCTTTTATTGTACATAAAGTAACTGGTGCACGTGCACATGCATATTTCAAGTTTGTTTTCTTTGGTTTTTTTTATAAACTAAATGGCCAATGGCAAGTTTTGATCAACATCTAGTGGAGACGGGACGGGGAAAAATACTGGTTCTGTGAAAATACCCCCTTTCTCCCTAAGTGGCATGTTCATTCAGCTCTTATCTTTATATTCCAATAAGTTATTTTGTTCTCACTGTTTAACAAAGAACGACATTAAAAAAATCCTTACATACCTTGTTTGATTGGAGAATTTTAATTTTTTTTCATTTATCATTGTAAAACCAAGGACAATTTTATAACCTTTTTGTACATAGCTGTTTCATGTATGGCAATCTGTCTTTAAGTAGGGGTAAATTACTCTGAAAGAAATGAATCCTAAATAGTTTTCCCTTCAAGTCAAGCGAATTGCTGTTTAAATAAACTTCTTGTTTAAAAAAGAAAAAAGAAAAAAAATCTTCACCACTGGATCGAGGAAAGATTGAAGTAATCCAATATCTTCATTTTACTTTGATTCAGGATCAACACCCATGATAACAACAGTCAAGAAATCAAAAGACATATTTCACTAGCAAATTTTGCTAAACAGGAGAGAATAAGAATGCTTAAAGATTGAGAATGTCAGTTTAAAGAGTCTTATCCAAGCCATGCTATTTTCCATTGCTTCCTGTAAAAGTTGAACAATGAATAAGAATGAACAAAGAAGAATATAATGCCTTTGGATTGTGGTGTTGATGAAAAGTATTAAATATACCATGGATTCCCACATCAATAAACATATGTCTTATAGGAAGTGTAACCAGGGCTCTCCTTAGATACAAGGATGATGAAACTTACTCTCATGTACTTCGGACATGTTATTAGAAAGAGTCAGTCTTTGGAAAAAGACGTAATACTGGGAAAGACAGTGAGTGATGAAAAGACTGAAAGGGCAGAGATTGGTACAGGGATTGTAAAAATGAGCTAAAACATGGCAGAGATACCAAAGAAGGTTCAGATATGTTCTTCTAAGGGTCACTATAAATTATAGTTGAGTTGACAGCCCTTTACAACAACAACAATCTTATACTTTAAATACTATAATAATTGCAATCTGAATATAAAGAAAGATATGCATATTTGACTATGTAGGAAACAAAGGAAATTAAGATAAACCTACTAAAAGATATCCATTTAAAAATATTGCTTAAAAAGACTATGTAGAAATGTTGGAGTCCTTTAATACATTATAAAAGAAGAAACTATAAAAGTACAGTGTATGTTGTCGTTAAGTGCCATAGAGTCCACTATGACACATAAGGACACTGTGAACAACGAATCTGAACCTTACCCCATCCTGCACTTTATGGTCTCTAATAACCTCAATTCATTGTTATAGTTACGATGTCAATCTATCTTGCTGAGGATCTCCCTCTTTCTCTCTAATCCTCCACCTTTCTATGAATATCCCTTTCCAAGACCTGGCCCCTCTTGACAATAATCCTACAGTATGTGAAACAATGTTTTACCACTCTTCATTCTAAGGAGCACCCTGCTTTTACTTTCTCCAATATAGACAGACATATATGATTGTTAAACACTTTTTTTGAACTACCTTCATGTCAATGTCAACATATATTAACCACAACATTGTTATAATTGTGATCTTTCCAAGGCTGATTGCCAGCTCTTTCTTCTAAGAAAAGACTCGACTACATTTAGTTAGTAATCAAGTGCTCAAATGCTGGCACTTTAATATTCTTTTGGCAGTCTTTGGTACTCCTCTCCAAAGGCATTATTAATTCTTCTTCTGTCATCTTACTCATTGTCCAGCTCTCAGATGCATAAAAGTGATTGAAATGGATCTTAGTCTTCAAACTGACATCAATGCTCTTCAGCATTTTAGAGAGAGCCTGAAAGCAGCCTCGCCCAAAGCAGTATGTTTCCTTTACTTCTTGACTGCTGGTACCAAGGATGTTGATTGTAGATCTAAGTAAGAGGATATCATCAATAGTTTCAATCCTTTCTTCGTCTATCATTATGATGCTTATTGGCCCAATGGTAAGGACCTTTGCTTTCTTGATCTTGAGATGTAATCCATATTGAAGGCACTTTTTAGCAATGTTTTATTACTTGATGTTGTGTTGTTGATTGCTGCTGAGTTGAGCATGACTCATAGCATCTCTGTGAACAAAATACCTGAAGGTTTTTTTACAACTATCATCTTTTCTCAAAATTCTTAGAGTTTCCAGAGTCATGTTGTTTAGGAAGTGGATGCCACGCCTGCCTGCAAACTTGTCTGAAACTGAAAGCTCCACCAAACACTGTCCACCATGGGTAACTGTTACAGCATTTGCCATCCCAATGGCACAAGTTTCAGCATCATAGCAACCCCAGGTTACCTCAGCACAGCATATTGACAGAAGAGTGCTGTACCACTTAGAAGAATGTTCCTCCAAAATATAACAACAACTGACTTTTAAATACACGAGATTTTTTTGACGCTAAACAAGATGCTTAAATTAAAAAAAAAAAACACCAACCAATATAATATGTTGTTGTTGTTATTGTTATGTGCCATCATATCACCTGCAACCCACAGTGACCCTATGTACCACAGCTCTGAATCCTTCCCTGTCCTGAGCCAGTCTCACTAATAACCACACACCAACCCCCATTGCCTCAGTTACTGTATCAATCCAATTTATCTAGGGCTTCTCCTATGCTGTGTGGATCACAACGAATTGTGACTAACCTTGAGGGGAATGGGAATCCTAGAACATGTGATTGGGCTTATGTGAAACCAAAATTTAGACCAAGAACAAGAGAATACTTCATGGTTCAAAATCAGGAAAGGAGTGTGTTGGGGATGCATCCTGTCTCCACACGTTTGCACTCTAGCAGCACAGGTCATTTGGGAAGCAGAGCTTTATGAGGAGGAATGTGGTATCGAAATTGGAGGGAGACTCAACAATCGACAATATGCAGATGACACAACCTTGCTTGCTGAAACCGAAGAAGACCTGAAGCACTTAACTGCAGAAGGTCAAGGACTGTAGTCTTCAATAAGGATTGAAGCCCAACATCAAGAAGACAGAGATTCTCACCACTAAGCCAGTTGGAAGCACCATGAAAAATGGGGAACAGACTGAGGTTGTTAACAATTACAGCTTGCTCGGCTCCACAATTAACACTCTCAACAGCAGCAGTCAGGTAATCAAAAGATAAATTGCATTTGAAAAATATCCAGAATGCTGAAAATCAATGATGTCAGTCTAGAGACCAAGGTGTGCCTAATCCAGGCCATGGTCTTTACAATTACTTGTTATGCTTCAGAGAGCTGGACACTGACCAAGGATGACAGAAGAATTGATGATTTTGAATTGTGATGCTGGAGGAGTGTTTGAACGTACTATGCACTGCCAAAAAAACAAACAGGTCTGTCTTGGAGAGGGTGGAACCAAATCAACCAAGTCCACGATTTGATAATTTTTCAAAAGAATAAGTGTCATAATATTAAAAGGCAAGCAGAATGTGAATTTAACCCTACACCCATTTCTAACTGTCTGTTCTTATATGCTTCTATTTCAGAAGCAGAATTCAACCAAATTCTTCTTTTCCAGCCTCCTACACAAGAAAAAAACAAACAACAACAACAAAAAAACAACACACACATGCAAAAAGAAATTCACAATAATATAATATTTAAATAAGAAGACAAATGCAGAAAAACACTGCATAGTTCAGAATCAAGAAAGGTGTGTTTGAGGGATGTATCCTGTCTCCATACATTTTAAATCTACATGCAGAACCGATCATTCAGGAGGCTGGACTTGATGGTGAGGAATGTGGCATCAGGTTTGGAGGAAGATTCATTTACAACTTGCATTACACAGATGAAACTACTTTGCTTGCTCAAACAAATAGCAAAGAGATGGAAACAACCAAAGTGCCCATCAACAAACAAATGGATAAAGAAGTTGTGGTATATTAACAAAATGGAATACTATGCAACACTGAAAAACAAGTAACTCATAAACTATTGTACAAAATGGGTGACCTTGGAGGACATTATGCTGGGTGAAATATCTCAGTCACAAAAGGTAAAATATTGCATAATGGACTGACATGGAGTTTGGGGGAAAACAAACAAAAAAGGAATAAATAATGTACACTACGTTGAAACAGATGAGAGAAAGAACTGTTTAAAAGAAATATATAATTAGCTATCATTTGCATGACAATAGTTCAAAAGAAGAGTTGCATAGCAAAGTGGATGGGGGTGGGGGAGAGGAAATTGTACAACAGTGAAATAAGTTTTTTAAAAGAGAAAAGCAAGCTGGCTGGGGGAGAGGAGGAGGGTGGAAAATGTGCAACAATGAATTAATAGAAGTCAAACTTCTTTATAAATTTTTGTTAAAATCTCAATTAAAATTTAAAAAATGGGAAAAAATCCATTAAAGAGGATATGAGATGTCTGCAGCAAAAAGTCAAAGACTGTTGTTTTCAATATGGATTGAATCTCAACATTAAGAAGACAATGATTCTCACCACTGGTCCAATTGGCAGCTTCATGATAAACAGAGGAGGGGTTGAGATTATTAACAATTTCAGCTTGTTTGGTTCCATAATCAACATCCTTGGCATCAGCAGTCAGGAAATCAAAAGACGAATTGTACTGGAAAAAATCCACTGTAAAGTATATGTCTAGAGTATTAAAGAACAACAATGTCAGTATGGAGACTAAGATGTCCCTGATCCAGACCATAGTCTTCTCACTTACTTGCTATGCAACAGAGAGCTGGACAATGACTAAAAATAGATGATAGAAAAAGAATCACTGCATTTGAGTTATGGTACTGGAAAGAGTGTTGAACATACTGT